AAAAAAAAACATGATAGTAAGATTCAGCGTTATCAAAATAAGAATAATCATCACTTAAATTATCATAATAATAATCAGCACAATTATAATAATAATCATTAAAAAAATAAACAAGATAATAAAAATCAGTATAATCAGAATAAGAACAATCATCACTTAAATAATAATAATAATAATCAGCATAATAATAATAATAATCATCAAAGAAAAAAACATAATAATAATAATCATCACTTAAATAATAATAATGATCAGCAGCAGCATAATAAGAATCAAAAAAAAAAAACATTAAAATAAAAATCAGCGCAATCAGAATGAGAACAATCATCACTGAAATTATAATATAAATAGTAAATACAATATTAAATTTGCATTAGATTCTGAGCGTTAAAAAAAATAATGTCCAATTGTTGAGTATAAGTAATTTTGTAAATTTCGAAACAGCTTTCGAAATAATTTGGAAAAATCAAAAATGACCGAAAATAGAAAAATATTAAATATATGGTGTTAATATTTTTTTATTTCAAATTTGTATGAAGTATGTTTTCTACCAGAAATCTTGCTTTAATAGAAAGTCGGCTAACAATTTGTTTTGTTTCATTTTTAATATAGTTGATTTGTAAAGTAAGTAGTTTTTTGATTTTACAAGCAGTTAACATAAAAACCGGGAAAACATAGAAAAACCGTAGATAAATAACGATACATTGTAGGTTGAAATGTTTAATTTTTTTATAATACGATTTTCAGATCAATTTTCGATGAACATCGTAAATAATATGGCCTTTTAAATCATTTTACTATCTGTCTGAACGAACGTCACTCAGAATCGTTTTTCGTTACAAATTTAAATTAAATAATTTTATCTATCTTTCCGAGTTACCTACTACATCAGTTGCGCGTTCATCAGTATTATATTTAATTACTCGTATTTATTCGTTACCTATACTTGTTTTATAAACGTATACAAATTATTAATATGTTGTAGATAGGTATATTTAAAAATAAAAAGTATTGCCACATATTCCTATATCTTCAATATTGATTTTTGTGAAATAAAAAAAATGCAAAAAAGTAATCGCCCCCGGGTGGGCTCGAACCACCAACCTTTCGGTTAACAGCCGAACGCGCTAGCCATTGCGCCACGGAGGCTCGATGTAAATGTTAGATTTTATTTATTATTTAATATACATTGATATTGAAACACGTAATTCAAACATTAATTTAAAGATTCTTAGCTTAATTATCTTAATATTTTTATTCTATTAGTATATTGGTATATTCCAATAATATGCATTCACGTTATTTTCGTAATTATTATAATATTTCGTCGTCTCATTTATTATTTTTCAATATTATCATATCATTAATTGTAGATTGTAGTAGACAGCGAAATATAATATTATTGTTTTAGTTGCGATGGTACTCCTTCAAACAAATTCAAAACACCAATCGGTGCGATGACGAATAAAATATTAATTGCTATATTATGAAAGGCTGATAAAATCTATAAAATAATAAATTATAATACGTTAAAAGAAAAATATTTTGTAATTTTATTAATACCTTTAAGCAACAATAAATCAATTGATCATGAACGACTGGCCGGTTTGACTTAAAAAGGTACCAATTCGCCAATATTAAATTAATTTAAATATTATTTTTTTTTTTTTTTCGGAAAACGGTCACATACCTACCCAATGAAAATGATAACAAACAGATAACGAGTACATTATTATATGGTATGTTATTAAGCGAGTGCGGTTTTGTGACTACTGACGTTGTGCTGTTCTCATAATTACCATATATAATATGTAAATAAATTGCCTCTAAGTAATATAATACATTTGTTATAGCATTAAAGTATTGTGTACTTAATGTGTTTACTAGCTACAATAGTACAATTTATCCGGATATATAAAAATAAAAAATTGCATTCCTCGACGAAATTAAACTACGGAAAATTTCAATTTTTCTTTACACAAATTTTTATGTCATTTTGGTAATTGTTTATTTATTTATTTATTTGTTTATTCTTGGGTTACCTTGGTGACACGGATGATAATTTGGTTGTCATGGACAAGAAAACTATTAATAATATTATTATTATTATTATTATTACTGTTATTCGCACTATTATCTAGTAATAGCGAAGCATATACTCTATTTATTCTTATTATCTTCGATTTGAAAAAAAGAACTTCCATGTCAAATGTTTGTAACAAATTTCTTTTATTGTATTTTAGGTGTCAAAAAATTAAGCTCGTTTAAATACAGATTGAATTCCTGGTTACTTGATCTCAATTTTTGGTACCTCTCTTATAAGTACTGGAAATCTTGAGTTATACCGTTCAAAACAATTTTTGTGTAAGTAAATATATAAGAAAAAAAAAGAGCCGACGGGTTCGGCAACTGTGGTGGATAAGTTGTAGGTAATGTGGGATATATTAAGTTATTTAATTTTTTGCTTAAAACTCAAAATGTTTTGCCATGAATATTTTCAATTTTTTTAAATTCTCAAGTATCCGATCGTTTTCTTTTCCAAATTAGGTGTTTTCCTGATTATTTTTTTGAAAAACGAAGTTCTACTTCATTATTAAAATAAGATTGATGAAAATATAGATGCCTAACATTTATACATATACGATACATACGATAGGTGACGAAATACAAAAAATGAAAAATAATAATGATTACGATCTTCTTTGTAAACATCCGACGTGAGATTTTATTCGGCGGACGCCAACGGATTCATGGATTTGGCCAACAATAAATTGGTCGGGTGATTGTTTGATAGTTTGGGTTCAGGTAAGATTCTTTTGACGTCCAAATCGTTGTTGATCAATCCTTTGCTCAACTGTTCCACCGTACCGTACGAAGACTGCAACTCCTCGTTACCCACCTGAAATGGATCAATACCAGAAAGAATATAAAATAAATGTAGAAAAATTAACGTCCCAAATTAATTGAACGTGAAAATCGCCCTCCAAACAATCCCCTTTCCTCTTCGCTATTATAAACTATCGAATATATTTCGAATCCATTATCGGATCGATATTTAATAACTAAATACTTATAGGAGACTGACCTCATCCAGTTGATGATCTTCAACTTTGGGCTCCGCCCACGGTTGCAGTTCTCCAGAAGCGAATATTCCGTAAAACACTGCTCCTATGTAAAATAGGACGGCCGCCAGGTTAAAAATTTCACTTCAACTTCGCCTTATCTATACGAATCGTTTTAAATTTCAAATAGATTTCAAATAAAAAAAAATCGGTTTGTAGGAACTGTGTGTAAAGAACTCGTACGCCGATAATGTTTGAAACACTACATTTTCTCACGACAATATAGGAGGATTGAAATTATCTGTATTCTCCGGGAGAACACGGATTTAACTTTTTCCCACACTAGTTCGTTGTCTGTAAAAATAAAAAAGTGTTTTATTTTTTTTGTCCCTTTTCCGCACACCGCACGTTTGCACCATACAAACGCATATAATTGAGAACGGTTTCTAAGTAAAAAAAAAAAAAGCTCGAGTCGAAAACGTTTAGGCCAGGTTACTTTACAAGCTTTATACAGACCTTTTATATTAGTATTTACCTTTTAAAAAACCATTTAAACCCCTCATTCGTTTCGACTTGACATACTTGTATACGCGATGTTATTGACAAAATGTCTTAATCGTGGAAAAAAAAAACCATATGCAAATTGTATTATTTACACCAAAGCGGCGGTTTCGCCGTAACATTTCCTTAGCAAACACACACACACACACGTAGAGCGTAAATAACAATTGTTGCAGTGCAGTTACCGTTCAGCGCGGCTCGGAGATTCGTCTGAAATCATTGACGTGCACGCGGCAAACGGCCAGAATACGTCGTCGCCCCGACGTGAAATCCCCGAACTGTCTGACGCGAAACAAGAACAGCGCCAGTCGCGGTCGTGTGCAGATCGGTCGTTCGCTATAACCGCGGAGTGCCCGGAACGCCGCGCGTTCAAAAGCGACCGTCCCCGTCGGTTTTCCACGACGTCGGGCGGCTTAAATTAGATTTCCGGCCGGCAATACGATCCGTGTCTGTGTAACGCAAAGACCGCACTGGTGCATGACGTGTCCAAATGTATTGTACACGGGTTTCGGTACTTAAGATGGCGTCAGCGTGAAAGTAAAACGCGTACGACGGCCGCCGCCTCGGCGTTCTCAGAGTCCGGTCCGCCGTGTATTCGTTTTCAACAACTCGCCGACAGCGTGTGGCATTTTATTATCTCATAAAAAGTCGCGGGCATGTCGACCCGTCGACATTAAAAGTACCTTTTTTTTTTTTTACCGTTGCCCCCAAAACTACCTATAGTGAAACGTACAAGCTGCACTCCCCCCCCTCCCGACATATTGGAACATAAATAATACTTCAATGACAACGATTGGCCATAAACTATATTTTGGCAAAAAATTAAAAAAAATCACATATAATGAAAATAATTAAAATGTTTTGAAACCAATTATAAATTTAGAAATATATAATAAACGTATTAATATATATATTAATACGTATTCTTATAGCCTTGGTACAATGTGTTTTGTTTTTTTTTTTTTTTTTACTACGATGTCATCATAGGAAAACCAATACATTCTTCGTCACGCTTAGAATCTTATAGGTAAAAACAATAAATTCCTCGCTGCGCTCTGAATCTAAGCGTGGATGATAGTAATTTACAAATGAAAATTCATAATTATAACAAATTTTAAATATTAAACATACAATGAAAAAAACCGAAAAATAATAAATTGTCACGCATATTAAAAAAAAAACGAAAAAAAAAAAAAAATTAAATAAATACTTTAACACAAGTGTTCTGTCAACTAAAACACTTTTGGACGTGTATACAATTACGAACTCGGTTCCTAGTGTTAAACTGCGATTATTCGTTTTCATTAAACGTGGTTAATTAATGTTCGCGCACATTGTAATATAACGTTTCATTTATTTTAATATTGATGAAACATACGCAGGTAGTTTAATCTATCAAACAATATATTATTGACTAGCTATTTAAAATTAAAACATAAAAAAATGTTTTCGACGACGTGGAGAATATTCCGCACTGCAAGTTGTCCAATTACACTAACTGATCATAAGTTACTGATAACTATTATTCTATTGACCGCATCGATAACCATAAACGTATACGTCCTTATCGCCGTTTCGAGAAAAGTAAGTTTATTTTTCGTGTTCAGTTAGTTAACTTTTAACGGCAGTTCACCGTGCCACCCTTTCGTAACTCAATTCCTTTCACTCTTTGCAACTATTCTTATTCACGTCGGACATGATATGTTTCGTGTGTTCTTTCTGAAAACCAAGCTTTTATCCCGAAAACCCTTCTTTGTCTGCGCTATCTTGCTCACAATGGTAACTATGACTGCTTTATTTCCACCGTCTTTTGTTATTTTTCTTCCTAAATAATTGAAGTACTACACCTTCTCCGGGCCGGATTTAGGCTTTTAGATGTCTGGGGCAAATCTTTTTTCGAGGCCCTTGGCAGTAAAACAAATTAAAATTACCCAATATCTAAGTAGTTGAGAAAAAAATAAAACATTTGCAAACCTGCACGTTATAACTTTCTACCTAAAATGTGTTTATATCAAGTTTGAAATACTGCTGTTCATGGATAACAAATTTTAAAATTCATTTAAATATATCAATGTTTTAAGAGTAAAAATAAGTATATTAATAGGCAACGTTTTATATTATTTATTTTATCTAGCATCCCGGAGGGGTAACGAGTACGGAATATTATTATTTAAATACATAAATACTTAAAACTACCTAAAACTATTTCAAACTATTGGAAAACAATTACTTCAACACAATATTCTTAATTTAACAAACGAGTCAAAACAAAATCAAAGTTCAATATACTGTTATCATGAATCAGAAATCGATTATCCGGACTATTAGCAATTAAGTTGCTTTTTATATTAAAATGTTGAAATAAAATCTTTAAAACTAGTACATTAATAACTTCATAAACAAAATGACGGGTATATATATGTATATATCGCACGATGGATGCGGCCACTGTTGTTTGTGTGAAGTTGCGAAGGGTAGGATATAGAGGGGAAAACAGTTTGCATCCTTAAGCAACGATAAACCATTGATTATTAAAAACGATTTTAAGCGGAGTTCAGTTGATAGTGATGCTTTGTCAACAATATATACACCGTGATACGTAAAATAATTAAATAAGCATTATATATTTTCTTTAATAATATTGTAACGATTTGCCCGGTTTTTCATATTTGCTAGAAAAACGCGTGAGGAAATCTTAATACATACGCAATATACTATTATACACGAATCGTTAATGTATAGATACATAATAACATGTACCACAAATGCTCATTAATGGGAGATATTAATATTATTAATTTTGCGTGACGTTTCATTTGAAACGGTTGTCGACAAATAGTAAAAAAACATTACGTGCTAGTCTTATCAATTTAGGTTTTATTCGTCTTATTAAGTTATACGATAAAAACAATGTCCTCGATTTGTTTACATATTATCGTATTATTTTACCAGAGATTTCAATTGGTTTTGGGGCGAAAAACGAAAATTCAGGGGAAAAATCAATCCCTATAGTGAATACTTTTTGAAATTTTCGATCCCGTATAATCAATGGTATAGCAAATATTCCTTAATGACGAGTGAGGTATGGGAAGAACCAGCCGCCAAAAATGATATGTTTAACGTACATATTTCCTTAACTGGTTATATATTTAAAAGTATACTGTACTTAATTAATCAAGGAAATATGAAAATAAATCACACACAATATAAACTATAAAGTAATAAAAAAAAAAAAAAAAACATAAAACATTTACGATAAAAATATTTAAAAATTAGGCAGATGAGAGGGGGACAGCATAGTCCGGCGAGAACTGTTGTAGATTTAGGATTTTTGTTTTTACATAAGAATTACTGGGTATTAATATGGATATCAATGAGAGTAAAAACCGTGGACGATTCGTTCAAGATTCAACACTGGTTTCACAGGAAATAGAGGTTTTTGCATATTTGAGAAAATTTCAGGGGTTATTCGCAATAAATCAGATTATTTCACATATTTTGGAATATTTTGTTGAGAAATAAAACATATTAAAATTAAAATTTTAAGGAACCTATCTATACTAGGCATAAATACTAAAGATATCTTAGTTTGCCATCGCACTGCCGTGCTTTCGCCGAAAAGCATATAGTGACTAACATGCTGGCTGTCGTTTTGAATGTTTTGAATCTGATAAAAACAAAGTATATTTCTTTATCAAATTGAAAACAAAAAAACTGTATTTATTCTTGTTGCAATGGATCTTCATTTTATTTTTGTAATTATTAATATTTTTCATCTTAAAATAATTTAAAACTTTCCTGCGAATAAAAAAATACCTATTAAAACGTGTTTTGATTATTTTCGCGTATTTGTAGATTTGTCATTAAGAATATTAGCATCGCAATTGAGTTGGTTTTATTTGAGCATTAAAATCCGGACCTCAGTGATAGGTAAAGACCGGGTTTTCATTTAAAATTCACGAAAACACCAATAAAAAAAAGCGCTTAAAAACATTTAAAATGTAAAAATAATAAAGGGAATTTAAAGTATCCTTCTAAAGGCTCTAAGTTATTAAATTAAATGTCCTAACACTACGAAAATTATATCTTTTAAATGAAATCGTACGTAATACGTAAAGGAAAAAATATACATACCTTTTATTAAGCAACTATGAATTTTAAAATGTGGAAAACGTTCGGGAATAACGGAAGATGGAACATGTTCGTAATATGTATACTTTTAGTAGCATTTGTATATCTAAATATGACTATATTTATAGTAGTACCGTTTTTAAAAAATGAATGGTTGTTTTTTGTTTTGTTTTATTTTTATGTTAAAACGATAACCCTCAATTGGACTGGTACCTCGGTTTGTTGGTTTTTTTCATAAGATACAATATTACGTTCCACAATCATATTACAAGAATAATAATTAATAAATAATTTTCTTCACTCTCGAATATTTTGATTAAAACTTACGCAATATACTACTATACATAAATTGTCAATGTGTAGCTACATAATATTATAAAAATGTCTGTTTTTGGGAGATAAAAATATTATTAATTTTGCGTGACGTTTCAAACACCTCTATTATTTTTACGTTTACCTTGCCTTGGTCGAGTGATTTTTTTCGACGTTGTCGTGTGATTTTTTGTGGATTTTAAAGACATATTTAAATCCTGTCTCTAATAGTTATAAGGTATACGATTATCGGGTTTAACCTAATGGCAATTCATAATATCAATATAGGCTAGTACACTGCCGCTTTGTACAACGACATTTTATTTTTCTAGGCGCCTTTGCCGGTCTGCTATCCGAAAAGTAAGATAGACTTGCCTCGGTGTTCGAATGCTATATTACATTATTATATTGTACACGTCCCTACGTATTATTCTGTCTAATAGTGCAAGACAACGCGTTTACGAGTACGAGGACGGTGTGGCTCGAAGAACTGCCCGTGGGCGACCGGGTCGGCGAGCAAATGTCTTACGTGCCGAAGGGCTACAAGTACGACGAGACGCCGGTCAAACGGATTTTGNGTCGACGCGGTACTCTTCAGACACAGTTTCAGTCGTCCGCACTTCCAGAAACCGCCGAATCAGGTAAATAACGCAAACGTCCACATCCAAAATAATAGCGTTTGGAACGTTCACGGTTTACGTTCGTTGAAAAAAACGCGTTCATTACGCGTTCAGTGCGACCAGAAAATCTTTAGATATCGAATATTATTAATTATTATTATGGGCCTTATCTTCCAAGACCGTGTTCTGGACCGATAAGAATGAGCGATAACTTATAAGAAAAAAATATGTTGACCTTTATGACAATACCGATAAATTATTTGTAAGAATACATTATACTGCACGATGATATTTTGTGTAATATATTTAAATTAAAATTTGAATATTTTTATAATATAATCATGTGAATGAATACATTATGTACAAAATGCAATAAAATTAATAACTATAATGACCTGACCACATTTTCAATATCTAATAAAACATAAACAAAAAGAATGCATAATATCTCGTAATTCTCGTAGTTATTAGAACCAACTAATGTCTAATATAAATATTAAAAAAACGGAATTACAAAAGAAACAAATTTGATAGCATAAATATAATTTACAAATGACGCATATTCAATATAACGCAAACTATCATTATTATATTTATGAAAACTCCCGATAAAAAGCAAATTGCTCTTGTAGGTTGGGGTAATACAAGTATGGCATACGAAATCGTATGCATTATTCTTACCAAAGTATATATTCTGAACAAATTGTTTGCCAACATTTCTGGAGGGTTACTAGTCACAAAAAGTAATCCAGTTATCAAAAAGATAGGAATATTTTCCAAATCGTTCAAGTGCGCACTAAAAACAACAATAATCAAAACGATTTGAATATTGTATATTATTTGCATGCCATTTTGTATTAACGTATTTAAATTATTACTTTACCGTCTTATTCTTTCGATATCAGGATCGTCAAATTTAACTTCAGCTCCCTGCCTTAGTACGACGTCTTCTGGATTCATGCACACCTGTAAGTTTAATTTGTTGCATCGAATAAAGAAATAGAGATTTGAAGCACTTTGTACAAATTATCTTATTTTATCATGATTTATTATAGATAAATTTAAAATGTTAGTCATTATTATAACGAACCAACAAAATATAACAACTAAATTAGGGGCAGATCTAAGTCTAAATAGCCGGGGAGGGGAGGGTTGGAGATTCTAAAAATTAATTTAATACACGCATTTATTAAGAGTTTAATGATGAATTAAGCTATGAGCAAAATGCAGCTAAGAGTATATTAGAGAGTGAACGAGGAGGGGGGGTGATCGACTCTATCAATCCCCTTCCTGGATCTGTCAGTGAACTAAACTACGCATATTGTGCCTTACTTTTTTCTTCATTCGCTGAAACGCAGTTATAAAAGACATAGCAATTGTTTTTAAAATGAGAATACAGCCGTAAAATGCGTAACATTCGAATACTGGATTTGACATTATCAACAATCCCATTGTAGTAGAATTTGACATTTTTTAAAAAAATAATTCGGTATTTCTGTTAAATGCAATACGTTAAAATTATAATGTAACAACAATAAGCGTGTGAGCGCAAGTATAAGAATCTATCCGACTGTTGAACGCTATCCAGCGCTTTTTTATTAATGTCGTGGTAGTGTTCATTAGTTAGCACTGCGTTATTGCGTGTTTTTTCTTTGGCTATTGATTTTTAAATCAAATATTCCATCGTCAATTCCAGTAAATATTTAAATATTAGTGGATAATTATTAAATTATAAATAAGTTTTTTTTTTTTTTTTTAAAACAAAAAACACAGCAATTAAATAATTTATTAATAATCCGTACCGTTAGAATACACACCGAATTATATAATTTTTTAGTATGAAAAAAATTCGAATATAACCAAACCGATTGTTACGCAGAATTTGAGCAACTACATCAAATTGCGACGGAGGATTTTTGACACATAAAAATGGCATAAGTTCCGACGTTCATTTTTAAAATGAAGCCGTTAAAAATAGATAGTAATCAAATACGAATTAACGAATATTTTCTTATGGATTTATATAATAATAAACTGATTTAATATTTTGTTTTGTTTTTAAATATTAATCAAATATGTATGTATTTCGCTAAAACGAACAGTTTTCCAAACGTTCCCAAACGAGTAAAACGATTCAAACGCATTTCGAACAAATTTTTTGCATTGTTGTATGATACATCGTAGTTTAGATATAATTGCAGGGAATCTAAAACGTAAAAAAAAATTAATGTTTAGTGTTATCAAAACTTAGTCGATAATATGACAAATACGTCTGGTAATTTAGAAATCATTAACCAAATGTATATGATAGGTGGATACAAATTTTAGATTCTGAGTGGAGCGAAGAAGCTTATGGTTTTTTTCTTATCTGTGCCTAACTTTTCTCCCAGAAATCTTGTTCCGATTTTTATATAACACATTTGAATTACTGATCGACGCAATTGATATATCTTTCTTCGGCCGCAACAGTATAGTCGGCTTCTGGACTTTAGTTGTTCCTATTGTTAGTATAATAATCGGGTCTCAATAAATTTCGGATACTATGCCGGTTGGGTTCTAGTTTTCGGTAGGAAATATAATAGTATATAGTCTAAAGGACTGAAAATCTTTTCCCTTCTCGTTTTCAACAAATTAGTACTCAAGATAAATTAATCCTTTATACAATTTTTTTTTTTTGTAAAATACAAACCCGAACGGTTTTTTTTCTAATGTTTACCTAACTATAATCTACTTATAATAGTACCTAAAAACTGGTAAGTAATTTAATGTATATTGTCTTTTATTTTCCTTAACTTCTGAACTATTGATATAGAATGTGCACTATTTTGATTAGTCGTAATCAAGCAGTAGCTGGTTAATTATATTAATTTTATGCCGAAAATGACTTATATATGCTAAATTGTCGTCTGACTGTACTCATTCGTGTTAAATTTCTAAACTTACATACTTCAATCGAAGTTCGCGAATAAAATGTTTAATTATATTATTTTTAGTTAGTTTCAAGTTCAAAGGATGAATCCAAAGTTTTTTGTTTCATTTCGTCCTGTTCAATTTCTCTAAAAAATTGACTATGAAAAGAATTATAAAATAAGAATAGCAATAACATCGACGACATTTCGGTTTTGCTTTGATTCGACTATGTTTTCTCTAGCGTGCGATCATAATGCTTAATTATGACTAAAACCGAAATGACTAAATATAACTTAAATTCCTTCGGTCAATTTCGATTTACCTGTGTGCGGTTACCCTCGGGGTAATTGTTACGTATAAATACGAATCGACAGAAATATGACCACTTGACTGTCGTACAACGCCCGATCAATGTAGAAAACATTGGAATGTTAAAAAAAAAAATTATTCTTACATTGTTCAAAATGTCCGCTCATTGTGCTCGGATTTCCTATGATTTGCCCGTGACATACATACACATAAATGTATATTCTTTTTATTTGCGATTTTCGGCGTAACTGATAATGTGTATCGGAATTATACGTCTTCAGCAACGGCTACGGTGGATTCGCCGGGTCAAATGTTATCGATTAGATATATTAGATAAATGTCGAATACGAACGTGATTTTCCAATGCATTTTCAGGTGTGGATCATGTACAACACGGAGGCTCCGTATTCGACGAAAACCGTGAAACACGAGGATCGCGACGCGTTCAACTGGACCGCCAATTATCGTTGGGACAGCGACATACCGATTCCTTACGGATACTACTCGAAATACAGCGAATCGCCGGCGGGCTTGAAAAATGTGCACGTTAATCATGCGGAAGGCAAGACGAAAAAAGTCGCGATGTTCGTGTCGAACTGTCACGCGCACAGCGGCCGTCTTCAATACGCCCGCGAACTTTCCGAACACATTGCGGTCGACATATACGGCAGATGCGGTACGATGACGTGTTCGATAACGGACGAATCCGCGTGTTTCGACATGTTGGCCAGAGACTATAAATTCTATTTGTCGTTCGAAAATTCGCTGTGCCATTATTACATAACGGAAAAACTTTTTAGGAACGCGTTACAGTGAGTGTATTGTTTTAGATTCTGCCGAGTGTATGTTTAGTTAACGGTGTAGGTAGCGCCGATGTCGTTCACAGTGTGCGCCGTCCTCGTATTGCGAACGGCAAATTCACTACTGCCGGTTATGGTTGTTCGATTATCAAACGTGTATGGACATCATCTTAGGTGCTTTTACGAGAGTTGTACGAAATATCAAAGCTAATAATGCCTACGATAACGCCAGTTTAGAATTGAAATTTCGAAAAAATAACGCAAACGTCGCACAGACAATGCTCATAACGTTATGTTTGACGATAGGTCAATTCGTTCTAATATTGAAATGCACAACGCAACGTTGTCCTTGCTGGCCGAAAAATTACTATACCGTATGTTTGTGAGACGGAGAAGGGAACATTATGTCTTATGTGTTTTATCGTAAATAATTTCCATTCGTGTTTCGTCTTCGTCGCCTACAGTACACCATAATACACCCATGTACGATTCCTATGTAAAACACTTCGAATTTAGATTCCAATAACCTATGAAACTATATATTGGTTTTATTAAAATGTGTTTTTTTCTTTCGGTTCATAAAAACGTTCCGAATTGTTCACGCTTAGTGTTAAATTCAGGTATACGTCAGGTGGGGCAATATCCCCTCCTGGTACTTTGTGCGTTCCCCCTGTTAAATGTAGGTAATTTTACTCAAATTGGACTGGTCTTAGTTAGTGCGTAGATAAGTAAAAAAATAGGAATTATTTCGATTAATAGTTTCCATGCCGTCAAATCATTAAATTATAAAATACTATTCTAAGGAACAACGTGTTGCCGATCGTTATGGGACCGGGCCGGGCCGATTACGAAATGGTGGCACCGAAAAATTCGTTCTTGCACGTCGACGATTTCGGTTCACCGAAAGAGTTGGCCGAATATCTGCACGTACTCGATCAAAGCCCAAGCATGTACAACGAATTTTTCCAGTGGAAAAACAACGGATCGATCACCACGGACACGAGGTTTTATTGCCGACTTTGCGCGATGTTACACGATGAGCAACGGCCCCGAAAACACTACGAAAATTTCCCCGAATGGTGGGATGGTTTAGGAGTCTGTCAAAAAAAATATTAACAATAACTGATAATAAATTCGTCCACGTGTTGATTGGGCAATAAAAAAAAATAAAAAAAAAATCGTTTCAACTAATATCAATTAATTTCCGTTTGATGGGATGCAAAAGCAATTTGCAAGTTGTAAAATGTGTAAGATGATTTATTATAATTAAGTCATACTTAAAATATTATGGACTCTCTTATGTACATTCTTATAACGGATATAACTACAGAAATAAAATATTTCTTGAACCTTCAATAAATTTTATTTTATTTTACCTTTGAAAAATTCCATTCTTCTTAAATATTCCTCTAACTCAGTGTTGTTAGCGTTCCTTTTAAAACGAAATTCGTTCTAGTTCATCATTCTTGATGCAAAAATAGAACTAGTTTTTTTAAGCGTTCCACTTTTTTGCGTAACTAAATTGCAGATCATAAATGATGCTAAGTGCACAGATGCAAAATCGTAAATAATATGGTATTTTAAATAATCTATCATTATCTATCTGAACGAACGTCACTCAGAATCGTTTTTCGTTACAAATTTAAATTAAATAATTTTATCTATCTTTCCGAGTTACCTACTACATCAGTTGCGCGTTCATCAGTATTATATTTAATTACTCTATAATATCTACTCTAATTATATTAATATGTTGTAGATAGGTATATTTAAAAATAAAAAGTATTGCCACATATTCCTATATCTTCAATATTGATTTTTGTGAAATAAAAAAAAATGCAAAAAAGTAATCGCCCCCGGGTGGGCTCGAACCACCAACCTTTCGGTTAACAGCCGAACGCGCTAGCCATTGCGCCACGGAGGCTACGTGATATTAAAAGCATGTTTAATATCTATTCAATACAAACCGGTTTAGAACGAATAATTTGAATATCCATTTACTTAGAGATNTCTCGTTTATTATTTTTAATTATTTTTAAGTTATAAATTGTAGTAGACAGCGACATATAATATTATTGTTTTAGTTGGGATGGTGCTACTGCAATCAAATTTAAAACGCCAATCGGCTTGTTTACGATTATAATATTAATTATTATTTTTTAGAACGCTGATATCTATAAAATAATAAATTATAATACGTTAAAAGAAAAAAATGTTTCGTAATTTTATTAATATCTGCACGCAACGATTAATCGTTGATCAAGAACAACTTTCCGGTTGTATCGAATTGGGTGCCAATCGACCAATGTTCAATTAATATAAATATTTTCGAAACTCGTAATCAATGCACAGTGATAAGGCGTTGGTGAAACTGTCGCGTACGTGCCAAATGAAAACGATAACGAACAGATAACGAATACCTATTATATTATAGGGTGTTCGTATTTTTCACAATATCAACGCGCTTACTGTTAAGAATTATGGTATGAATGACAAACGGTTTACTATTGTACTCGCGATACACGTGTTATTGCCACTTTAAACCTGGCAACAGAGATAACTGATAGCAACTGATAACTGCTTTTAAGCGAGTGCGGTTTTGTGACTACTGACGTTGTGCTGTTCTTATAACTATATGATATGTAAATAAATCGCCTCTAAGTAATAAAATAAATTTGTTATAGCATTAAAGTATTGTGTACTTAATGTGTTCAGTAGCTACAATAGTACAATTTATCCGGATATATAAAAATAAAACACGGCGCAATACTCAAATCATTGTAGACAAAACTTTGAATTCTCTAAAGAAACATTGCATTCCTCGACGAAATTAAACTACTGAAAATTTCATTTTTTCTTTACACAAATGTTTAAGTAATTTTGATAATTGTTTATTTATTTATTTTTTGTTTACTCGTGGGTTACCTTGGTGATATGAATGGTAATTTGGTTGTCATGGACGAAAAATATATTAATATTATTATTATTATTATCATTACTTTTATTTACACTATTATCTAGTAATAGCTAAGCATATACTCTATTTATTATTTTTATCTCTGACTTGAAAAAAAAACTTCCTAACGATGTGCCTAGAAAAA